GAGCTCCGAAGTGAGAGCCGGTGTCCTCCCAGCCTAGCCGCAGATTCAATAAACAAGCCTAGGATTAGTCAATGTTCTTTATGCTTGGACCAAAGGGTAAAGACTAGGTATGCTCCTATTTGACACAATATAATTTGAACTAATTCACTTTATCCATTCACTATAATTTCTTGACAAGGAGAACACTGATTTCTTATATATTTAATATCACATTTAAACCCTCATTAGTATCATTAGTTATTTAATAGTTATTAAAATTACATATTTATTTCAATTGTCTATTAGTGACAGATAAACAAATTGAACTTTGTTGTTGCGATTAAAGTATTGCTTTTCTAAAATCTTAGTTCGCAATTCTAAACCACTCCATGTGGGATCGATATATAGGACTCCATTAGAGCCCTATATTACTTGAGCGATACATATACTTGCGTTGATAAGTGTGACTTTACAATTATTGAATATTTATTACGTCCATATTTATCTTATATTTTAAGCATATAAAAAGTCGCTGTCATCTCTGCAACAGCCATTGATGTTATTTTACTACATAATACTCGATGTACTATAAATACTACATTATTATCTCAATTATAGAAATTTTAAGATCAATAATGAAATATAAAAAGTAGTGTTTATTATTTTTATAACTTAAATCTAATCTAACCTAATTCAAATGCTATTTATAATTAAAACTAATTAAGCTAAATCTAGCTTAAATTGAATTGAGTATAAAATTAATTGAAAGTCAATCTTAAGTACAACTAAATTATAAACCTATAGGTAGCTTCTCTATCTTGAAACTAAAACCCAATTCACAAACTCACTTCTTCTGAGCTTTTCTTTGAGAACATTCTTTTTCCAGCCAGTGTTTCATTTTTTTGAGCGTTCTTAGTGTCATTTTGCTCATCATTTGTGAAAGATCCACAGATTGTTCGACCTTATGGTCATCCCTACCCCTCTGGTAGAAGGGGACCATAAGCGGTCAAGTTCCTCACAGAGCTTTGGTAATATGAGCCCTCTAGTTCCTCCTAAACCATGTTCTTTCAAGGAAACTTTTGTTAGCATTGCCTCAGAGATTTTTCCTAACATTCAACTTCATTCTTCCACCTTCAAACGAATGTCTGTGATTTTCTTATCTGATGATGATTAAGCTTTATTAGCTACTCCCTTTGAGTTTACCTTGGTTGAGAAGTTTTCCTTTAAAATCACCTTTTTTAACTACAATCCAGACATTGTCATACAATCTAAAACTTTATGGTCTTTTTTTGGTGGGATTAATGGATGTTATCCAAACATTGTCATACACTTTATGGTCTTTTTTTGGTGGGATTAATGGATGTTAGGCATATCTCTATTGAACTGCATGATAATATGGATTATAGTCGAGTGTTTTCACATAGATCATACTACATTTTTAACTATTAAATGCACTTATTGAATTGAACACCTTGCTTTGATATACAAGATGAGTTTCTATTATTCATGTCTTGGTTTCTTTCCCTTTGAGTCTTCATCTCCTTAACCACCAAGTTCTAAATGCTATTGCTACTTTATTAGTCATCCCCTACACACAAATCAAGCCACTCTTATTCACCAAGGACCTCAATTTCTTGGATCAATGTGTAGCTGTTGTTGAAATGCCACAAAATACTGCTATCATCAATCTGTGGCTGTGACTGCTGTTGAGTTGCTTCTCCTAAATATTGTTTTACTTTAAAGTTAAAACTAAACACGACATAACTCATTTAAGCTCTGTGGATGATTTCATTATCTAAAAATTTTTCTATCTCCTTTATTTTGCTTATTAAACAACTTCTCTATTTTTATTTGATTTTTTTTAAATGTATTTAGATGCATACCACAAAATTGATGTTTTCACATATCTAACCTTTAAACATTCATATTTAAATGCAATAATATCTGAACCTTTAATATCAAATATCGTAAGCATTATCTTTGAAAAAAAATACATATATATATATATGGAAATATATATATATATATGGAAATATAAATATCAAATTTCTATATATATATATATATATATATGGAAATATAAATATCAAATTTGAGTGCTAGATGTGTTAATACATCTGAATTATGTGCTTATTTTTTCCCCCCGACAAAAAACGCTAACCCAATCTTCTATGCACGTTCACCGCACCTCCGCTCGCTGCACCGCAGGCGGTGACCGCAACCTTCCGTCGACAATTTAAATACTCCGGTGGCACTTTTGTAAATAATCATCAAATCTGCAGGCTTTCTTCGTACATCGGCTCGCCGGTGATCTCTCTTCCCTCCTCTCTCTCTCTCTCTCTCTCTCTCTCTCTCCTTTATTAGTCATCTTCCTCCGAAGCGCGTCGCGAGCTTTCTCATAAATTCCACGCCGCCTTGCCGACGAACTCCTCGTCCGATGCCAATATCGAGCGAGAGAGAAACCCACGCGGTGGAATTGCAGTCGTCGTTTCGCCGGAGATTGGCCTCCGGCGCATCGGCCGCGGCCGCCGCTGGTCGCGGTTTCCATGAAGATCTGTTCAAATGACTCGTGTAAGCGCCGAGAACTATTTGGCGGAATCCATGGGCGGTGATACGAGCTCCGATGTAAAATCGACGTGTGTGGTTGGGAACAGAGAGGAGGAGAGGAAGGGGGAAGCCGTGATGAACGGTGGTGGGGAGCGTGAAAATGGGATGAGGAAAGGAGAAGGAGAGAAGTTTGTGTTTCGGGCTTCGGCTCCGGCGCACAGGAGAGTTAAGGAGAGCCCTCTGAGTTCTGATGCCATTTTTTCTCAGGTTGGTGTTTTGCATGAGTTACTCGAGTTTTGTTCGTTTTTTTTCATGCTTTTTTTTAATTGAGCGCATTAAGCAGGAGCATCAGCAGTCTTACCGTCAATCCAGAGTTAAATTTTTTGGAGGATTAATTAGAAGCTGATTTTTTACTGTTACGTGTCATGATTTTTCTTGTTACTAGTTTTTAATAAAATGATTGGATGTTAAGTGGAAGTCTTTTAATCTAATCGGATGGTTTCCTGCCAGAGCCATGCAGGTCTATTCAATCTCTGTATAGTTGTTCTTGTTGCCGTAAACAGCAGGCTTATTATTGAGAACTTGATGAAGGTTAGCTATCTTCTTTATTCTTGATTGGAAACTACATATTTCCAGCACTATAGTTTATGCCATCATCTTCCAAGCGTGATTTATGTTGGGGAGTCTAGCATTACTATGCATGGTTTTGGCTTTCGTGACCTTTCAATGCTTTGGATTTGCAGTATGGTCTACTGATAAGAGCAGGATTTTGGTTCAGTCCCAGGTCACTGAAAGATTGGCCACTGCTTATGTGTTGGTAATTTTCTTGCAGATGTAAACTATTCTTTTTAAGATTTGTGGGTTATTTTTCCATATCAAGCGCTATAAAGATGTTGTCAAGGTCACATTGTTTGATTGTTTTCTCTTATTTTGCAGCCTGACTCTACATTGTTTTCCTCTTGCTGCATATGTGGTTGAAAAGCTGGCTTGGAACGAACTTCTATCCGGACCCGTGAGTATATATGTGAATGACATTTTTTTTTTGTTTTTTTTATGTGCACGATGTAAGATTGAAGTATTTGGTTGTTTTTATTTGTATAAGCCGATAACTTTGAAATATAGTGTTCTTAGTACGCTGCAGCTAGTTTTTATATGTTTTTGGCAGTATCTTGTCTTTTCAAGGGAGATATACGCGATGTAGAAGGAATGCGGTTAGAAGAACTTTTTGAGTGTTTGGTTGATGTGAAGCAGATGCACCAACTTTAAATCGTCACATTTTAGTTTTCTAGGCTATTTTTTTCACAAAATTGCTGCAAAGTTAATGCAGCCTATTTTAAATTGTTTACTTTAGTTGGAACCAAATAAAATATAGAAGGGACTTGTTTACTCTTTAAGCTTAAAATTTGTGTGATAGATATTAAGTAAAGTATATTTGATGCTTTAAAGGCAAATGATTCATTTCTGAAGTGTTGTAATTTAAGCTGAGAGAAAACAAGATCAAATAAAATTTCATTGATGCCGATCAATGGCATAATAAAAATTCAGTGATCTAATTGTTCATATTTGTGAATTTTTGAGTAATGATCCAAGTTGATATAACAATATGTAACTTGTATCGTTCCATACTAGAAGTGCTTTCAACATCTTTTTTCATTTTAATTTTTTTGAGAACAATTCCGTCAACATTATCCTAACAACAACAACAATAACAAAGCCTTAATCCCACTACGTGGAGTTGGCTACATGAATCCTTTTTCTCCATTGCGTCCTCTTTAGTGTCATATTTTCATTTAGTTCTAGTAAATTAATATCATTTTTTATACAATAAGCCTAAGTCTTCCTAGGTTTACCTCTGCCTTTCTTAACACAAGTCAAATCTAAAACATCTACTCTCCTAATTGGATCATCAGATGGTCGACGTTTAATGTGACCAAACCATCTAAGACGACTTTCTCTAATTTTGTCCGTCTCATACATAGATTATAAAGTAGTTACTCAGTGCACACTAATCTCAAAGGATCTCTGATTGGTTTCTTTCTATCTCGTTCTAATTTTGATATAATATTAACTAATATCTTTGGTTATTATGCTTCTTATGCTTCTCTTTTAAAGGACAACATTCAACGCCATAAAACGTTGCAGGTCTCACTACCGTCTTATAAAATTTTCCTTTCAGTCTATGCGGTACTTTTCTATCACACAAAAGGCCCGAAGCATTCCTCCACTTCAACTAACCAACTTGAATTCTACTATTAACATCCTCATCTATATCACAATCGCTTTGAACAACAGACCCAAGATATCTAAATCGTTCACACATTTTAATAATTTGATCACCCAAAGTCACACTTCTGTCACTAGAGCTACTACTACTAAAATTACATTCCATGTATTCAGTTTTAGTTCTACTTAAATGAAGGCCTTTAAACTC